GGAGAAGATAAGCCATGTTGGTTAAACCCTAGAAGGATTCAATGTCTAAGTTTTTCAAATGAAGATACTAAACCACATATTGATAAGAAGAACAATATATATATATATATATGTATATAATATATTTATATTTGTTTCAGAACAATTAAATATATAAACAAAAATTTGTGCTTTGATTTTTTTTTGTTCAAATTGTATAAATTAAAATTAATTCTTATAAAAACAAAAACATAAATCCAAAAGAGAGTGACAGGATAGATATAATGTCATTCATCCACATAATATGATAAATGAAAAAAAATTATGATAAAAATTTAAAGAAAATGTCTTGCAATATTTTTAAATAAAACTACGGTATAGTCACTTCATCAAAGATTGGACAACACCATGATGACATTTTACGCTCTATCACATTCTCGTCTATATGGATTCTTTGGGATTAATTATTGGCTCTCACGACATCTTACAACACTACAACGAAGTGTTGGATGTTCAATATCTTTATTTTCACAGTTGTGGCTGCCGATAGGTTACATGCAAACTATGAACATTGCTATTACCAATATAACTCTCATTTTTCATTGCAAATTAACAATAAACATGCATATATGATTTTGTGTTATATATTCATAGAAAGTGTTGATATGTGTATATCGACAAGAGACAAAATAGTAACTTAGATCGAAAATTTGGATTTTATTAAATCGGTCGAGAATACAACTGAGTTCGTCTATGTAAATGATAAACGAATTAAGACTTAGGAAATTAAGAAGCTAATAAATGCCTTGAGCTCTCAATCTCTAAGTCTCTTCGGGAATTTCTTGTGTCTTCTGGTGTCGATTCCTCTTCCTTTATATATGTCTTCTAAGTCGGTTTTCGTGAGTCTTCTCTGCAATATGGGACCAATAAGACTTTCCTTTTCTCTCGGTCCTTTTCTTTTTCTCATGGTAATTTCCTTTCTTCTCGTCAGTTTCCTTTTCCTACTCGGAAACTTTCTATTTTCCTCCGAACTCAGAGAACTTCTCGGTTCCTTTGAGAAGTTTCTGACCGACTTCGGCTTGTTGGGCTACGTCCGGCCCAAGAACTCATTCGGCCCAATATTCTCGGTACATTTCCTTCGTAAACCGGGCTTACGTCGTGCCGTTCTCGGTTTGTACCGGAGAAAACCGGAGGTGCGGTTTTCACCTCCAACAGAAAGAGATATAAAAATAACATTTTTCATAAAGAGCTAGGTTATTGTTGAATTGTATGAAATCACACAAGGGAAAAGATTGATCTTTAGTTCGAAAAGTGTTTATTAATGTAAGTGTTGAATTAAAATGAAGTCAGCTAAATAAGTAGAGAAAACAAGAGAGTAAGGGTATTTCTTGGGAGCTCTTAATTCTTGGGTTGTCTGTCTCTGGAATTCGAATGAATGATTTATGAAGAGTCGCCCTCTATTTATAATGATTCCCTGTTGATTTAATGTAATTTTTTTTTTCTTTCCGGACTTGGAAAAAGGAAACTTACCTCCGAGATTTTTAGGAGAATTTTTTTAAACATTGGCGGGTGATACCGACTTAATCCAAGCCGGGCTCAATGGTCAAAAAACAGGCCGAGTTTGGCCCATTTACCTCGATATGAACCATCGTTAACCCAGATCAATTGGACCAGTCTCAGTTCATACCGAGTTAAACTGGAGGTGTGGGGCACACCACCAACAATATGTTAAGCAAATGATTGTTTGCAGGAGTTCAGCGTATCCTATTGAGTATTTTTGACTTGGTATGAATTGAGATCGTTTCTATGCTTGTCGTTTTGTATTCCTAGAAGAAACACTCTCAGATCGGCGTTGACGGTGGTTGGTTGGATAATTTCACTCAGACTGCTGATGTGGTCGCCAAGTGCATTTTGGTTGTGTTTACATGCGGCTTTTGACCTATCGAAAAATCGAGGAAGTTATCGTTACCTTTTCCACAATAAAATCCTCCCCTTCACCTTCATTTTTCCACTTGTGATTTTTGCAAAAAAGGTATCAATCTCACTTCTCTCTTCTTTCTCTCACTTAAATTAGTTCTTCCGCATACTTTTGAGTTTTTCCGATCAATCCGCCACATTATTCCAATCTAATTTGAAGTTTTTGGGCGATCTTCAACTTATTCTTTGTGAATTTTCATATGTTCTTCATCAGCTCTTCACTTATTTTCTTTGCCAGAACTCCAAACCCTATATGGAATCGAGTTCATCAACTGAATCGGTTAGCTATCGATCTGTCGGCTCGGAAGGTTGGATAATTCTAAGGGAATTAGTTTATACTGATGCCAAAACTTCCAAAAGTGTTTCCATAGGTTGCCAATCTCTTACTTGCAAGAATTCTCGACAAGTGAAGTTGGTATTAGTTCTCGTTGTGTGGTTATTGAGGTCCCAACTCTTCAAGTTAGGGACAATCGTGAAATACACGCTCAAGCTTGTTTCGGCGAGGAAATGGCCACTGCTAACGGGGAGATCGACACTATGGCTGATGTCGCCACCACTATTTAAGTTCCTGAAGATGGGAACCCTGAGATCCCTGAGAATCTGGCTACTAGGGGGTGATGTTCTCGAGGAGGTTGGTCAGAATGTGCCAACCACGACTTCTAATTATGGTAACATCGAGGGCCCTTTGCGTCTTCCACTTATTTTTCAGCCAATTTGATTTGCCTATGTCGGGCCCAACATTTTTTCTAAGGAAGAAATCGTGCTCTTGCTCCATGAGTTCGACGCCCCAGATGACTTTTCTGTATTGAAGCCGGTATGCAGATCGTACTCTAGACTACTCCAGAGGGATACTTATGTATTTATATATATTGGGTCAGCCACAATGGCTTTTCGATTTCCCATCCCAGACCTTTTCTTTAGATTCTGCAACAAGAGTTGGGCTGCTATTTCACAGCTGATGTTGGCCACTATAGTGAATATGGTTGTTCACCTTCCATGGGTGAGGAACTGGGGTTCCCCATTCATGTTTGCAACTATGAGTTGCTTACCTCGGTCAATGTTGAGAAGGCGAGGCCATGGTACTTCTCGGCCAACATGAAACCCGGCTACGACATCATTACTAGTCCAAAGGCCAGTAAAGTGAGAAACTGGGAGACGAAGTACATCTTTTACAAAGTTAACTCGTTTTCAATATTGAGGTCGGAGGCGGCGTCTTACCAGACTGAATGGAATGTGAATATTGGTAGCTTTTTGATAGTTCTGATTGCACACTGCTCGCATTTTCCTTATTTCAAGTTGTTTCTTTTAGCAGTTCGGAATCCATTGTACTAGCATCTGAAGAAGGAGTGGTTGGACAACACCGATAGGCTTTTGACACTAGAAAAAGCTCATTGGCTGGATGTCCAGGAAGACCGGATAAACAAACGGTTGCTCTGTAAACACAGATGTATCCTTTTCCTTTGTCATTATTACTGAGGTCTGAGAGGTCGCTGACAATTCGTTCTTGCAGACCAAGAGTCCAATCCGAACCAAAGAAAGAAGAAGGCCAATCTGAAACCAAGTAAGAGGAATATGGCCAGAAGAAATCATCTTGCGGTCCCTGACTACTTGGTCGTCCTCCAGGATGAGAATATCGTTCCGGTCAACCCGGTGGAAGGCTCCGAGCCAAGCGAAAATAGGCCGGCGGTAGCTGAAGAAAGCGGCTCGCGTACTTGATGCGGCCAGTGAAGTCGGGGAGCCTATAGCTAATGAATCGCTACCTCCTGAGAAAGTATCTGCCAAGATCTCGGCAGAAGTAGTTCCTTCTCAGACCGGCAACATGCTGTCTGAGGCTGACCTTGCACCTGTGAACGCAGGGTTGGAAGAGACAAAGAGAGCCGCCACAGAGGCAATTCGTAGAAGATTCTTGATAACACCGTATTTTGACCACTTTTATGGATCAATTGTAAATACTTTTTCAATGTTTTTTTATTTCTTTTAAGTGTTTTTATTATGATTTTCTATTATTTGTAGTTTCAAGACTCATTTCAGGAAACTTAGGCAAAAACTTTGCAAAATGGATAGAAAACCAGATTTTTAGCTCAGAGTCAAACCATCAGAAGTTTACCCTCAAATGAAGACCTTCTCACCATCTGATCCAGCTCAAATTTGGAGATCTTGAAGTGGAGAAGCTAGCTTTCCAGCACACTTGACATCAGGACAATCCAACGGTTCAATCAAACGTTACGCAAAGAGAAATATTTCCAGTTAATCAGCCGGCCAGCCTTCCGGACTGCGGCCAACACTTGGTTTCCCACGGTCGCCCACTTCCTGACTGCGCAGAATCAACGTTCAGATCGAAGAAGCCCATTTCCAAGCCCATTCGATATTTTCATTTGGAGAAACCCTAAATGACGTCCAAAAATGACTTAAGCACTATAAATACTTGTTTTTAGGAACCCTAGGCCGTGTGCCATATGTTTTAGTTGTTTCTTATACTTGTAGCTTGTTTTTAGGTTTAGGATGATAGAGATATATCTCTTGAATCCTCTTTGTTTCTTTTCAATATCGTTTCTATTCAGTATTTCAATACAATTTTTTTTGCTTTCTTTAATCATGTTTGAGTAATTTACTTGTTGAGTCTACGAGAATTTTCGATGGGGATTATATATGTTTGATGAGGATTCCATTAGCTACTAAAACCGAATCCTAGAATTTTTTCTTCTAAACTTATTTTTAATGCATGAGAGTAGCATTATGAACTATAATCTGATTTAGGTTTGTAGTGTTGCGAAAGTTTTTATTAGGGTCCAAATCTAGTTTGAGAAGAGCAATTCTGCCATATGAGTGGAGATAATTTCACTGAAAACCCTGTGTCTCGTTTTTATAAGTTTACATCTATTTTTATTCAAGCTTTTTACATTAAGTCTTCTTTATTTTTCCAGCCGATTTTCTTAGAGTTTTTATATTAGGTCATTTTTAATTTTAATCGTTTCTTCCTTTCCAGTTTAGTTTAGGATTTGCATTTTAGTGACCCCCAAAATCTATTTTGAATACCGATTAGTTCTAGAGTTTCTTGCTTTAATCTCTTTCAAAAGTTTTTGCAGAAAAGATTCTCCTTCCCTGTAGATTTGATCCCTAATTTTTACAATCAATTAGCTGTGCACTTGTGGTTTTAGTTGATTCTATTAGGGTAAAAATTGTTTTCGCACTCACATCACATCAATTCTCCCGCAAAAAAACAGCACAGACAGTTCCCAAAGCTGAGATGAGAACTTTGTCCCTGAAGCGACCAACGTCCCGGTTCCCTAATGTTGGGATTTCTTCAAGAGAGGAGGTCCCTCCAGCTGTAGACGACCTCCATGTTGTGGTCCAAGGTACCAAAACCGGACACTGGACTAAGCGTTGCAGGTTGAATCCTGGTGAATTCTGCTTCACTTACAAGAAAGATACTCCGCTGTGCAACGATGCAGAGGCTTGTGCCGTTCTATTTTGGCAATTCAGAGATAAAGGATCTCATCCTAGTCGACAAGTATAAGGAAATTGTGCGTGCCAAGTTTCAGGTAATGCATTTAGATTTTGGCAATCTTTTGCCTTTTGGCTCTGTTGCTAACTTTGATCGTTTCTCTAGGTTGAAGGCCGGACTAATAACATCATTTGGGTCTACGATCGTCATCTTAAAACTGATATCTTTGACGTCGGGAAATTCGAGAAAGTGAAGCAAGACCTCGCTGCTGAGCAAGCCAAATCCTCCAGTTTGGAAAAGGCGGTCGTGGAGCGCAACCTAGAGATTGAAAGGCTGTCAGCCAAGATCGCTCAAGCAGAAGTGTCCCTTACTCACACTGCTTTAGAAAAGAACAAGGTAGAGGACTTGCTGAAATCCGAGAAGGCCAGGCTTAGGGACTCCCGGGCTGAATGGGTTGAGTACCAGAGGAATCTTCACAAGGATTCAGTGGAGAAGATGAAAGCCCAGATGACTAAGGAATCTTCACTACCGCAGAGCATCCAACACGAGCTAGAGAGCGGCCTATAAAACTAGAAAATATTAGGACAGCTCTATACTATTATTTAAGGAATTTTTTTAAGATATGAACTTTATTTTATAAGATATTACATGAAATGCTATTACAAATAAAAATAATTAAATGAAATAAGAACATATAAATGTCTTTTGAAATTATTGAAAAGAATATGTATATAAATCAAAAGTGTATTTAATGTCTTTACTTATTAATCTTATAAGGATATTAAAATATATTATATTATTTAAAGTAATAATCAATCCATATATAGTCCAAAAAAACTATTTAAAATTTTGCAATATTTTCATTTGTATTTTTTAATTAATTTATATTATATTTGAAAATCAACTCAATCATTTTTTTAATAATTAAGATATGTTTTCAATATTTAAAATTGTAGTTCTTTAGAGGTTGGTCAAAAAACATTTTAGTCCATTACAAAACAGATTAAGTAGACTAGTTGGTGCGCTTTGATTATTGTAAAATATATTATAGAAATTATTAACCAAAAGTGATAATCTAATCTCAAATAAAAAATATTCACAATCCATGTTAGTATGTATATAAGTATGTACATATTACCATTACATCACTCTTATATTTTAAAAAAAAATATTTATATTTTTAACTGCACAACAAAATTAACTCAAATACCTATTCAATAGATATATATATAAATATATATATATATATATACATAATATTGGTCGTGTAACTTTTATAATCTATTGCTAACCAATTTTAACTTAACTAAAAACTTAAAACTAAAACAATTAAGTAAAAAATAAATTTTAAATCAATTAAAAACATAATAAAAAATTACTCCATTCTGTGTGCGAGTTAATTTCTAGTGTTAGCATTCACCCACTTATTTAGTCCAAAGGCTAAAGTTGCAACCTTGTCTTAGAGGCTATGTCATGCCTGAATAATCTTGGATTTGAGGATTTGTTGTTCCAAACTTCTCAAAATTGGCTGAGACTCTCCATAGGTTTCACAAGACACATCATAAATTGGTGGTTGGTACGTCAGTAGAAGACTTCTTCAACCGTCTTTCACATATAGAAAAAAATAGTGAAAATTCCTCAGACTAGCCTTTAAGGTTGATGAAATGACAAATCTAACCTAACATATTGAAGAGTTTACTAAACTAACCTTAAAAAGTTGGTCTTATACCATTTTGTCCAGATGATGAATATTATTACAAAAATCCCATTTTAGTTTAAAAAAAAAAATTCGAATATAATTAAAATCAAACAAATATACATATATCTTTAAAGCACAAAAAAATATAATTTGCAGATTAAAAAACAAAACCCTAATTTTTTTGTTGGAGAGGCGATTTTGCGCCCCAGCTTCTCCTTCTTCCTTTTATCTCTTTGCAGCTTCTCTCTTTTCACAGAACCATCCAGATCTTGACTCTCTCACCGTTTCGAATCAGTCGTTTTTTTCTCTCTATCGGAATAATCAGATCTCATCGATTTTCTCGTTTTTTCATCGGTTTTCATCGATTCACATTGTTTTCTCATTTTTTCATCGGTTTTCATTGATTCCAGGTCAAATCCAGGTAATTTTTGGCCCAGAAGACTACCGCCATGTGTGAGGCGATTTCGGCTGTATTGCGGCTGACGGCGGAAGCAAAAATCCGTAATTTCTTTTTGTTTCCTCCGAAATTGTAACCCTAATCTTAATTTTTGCAGGAAATTTTTGGTTTCGGTGGTTTCTGTCATTCCGAAACGATTTTTGGTGGGAGCATACGATTTCTGGTGAGTAATCTTTTTTCGTAATGGTTGAGTTCAAAAAAGTGTATGGTAGACTTTTTATAGAGTTGTTGTAAAATGGTAGATTTAATTTGTTAAATGGTAGATTTGTTTGGGATCATGGTAGATTTGTTTGGAAAATATTAGGTTAGGTAGATTTATTTATGTTTGTTGGTTTGGTTTAAATGATCGTACTAGTCATGGTACGTTTTCTAGACTATCTTTCATTTTTGGTAGATTTGTTATTGAATGTGGTCGATTTCTTTATGTTTTTGGTAGACTAGGTGAATACCCGCGCCCACGCGCGGATTTTTCTTCTGTTAAAGTTTTATATTACATAATAATATTGATTGGTGTTTTGGTATGTCATCTTATATAAACTCGAATCAGTACATCCAATTTTAGAATTTAGCTTCAAGTGTCTCTGTGTACATACTAATTATAAAATAAAAATCCAAATCTTACCATCACGATAGTAAAATTTGAAGTTTATAAGTCTCAAAGTAAATCAAATGTTGCTAAAAGTGAATTACAACAAATCTCATAAGGCCTTACCATGTCCAGAGGGACAATCTTTGGTCCATGTTAAAGTGGTACTGTTGATATGTAATGCAAATTTATCCAATCTCCTACATTTAGTTCCAGCAACTGCACATACCCATAGCTGCTACAAAGATAAGTCTCAACTACATTGAGAAGACTCCGAAGCTATAATAGTTGGAAAAATATATTAATACCTGAAAAGCAACTTTCTCGAACTTCTTCGTGTACAGCCTCGTCTCTTCCAATACGTAAAAACTCAATTCCCTGCAAGTGGATTCAAAATATATCAGACGTATTAAAGTGTCCTACATGTCTAAAAGTAGGCACTTACGCAAAGAAAAACGTTCTTCATCTCTCGTAAGAAAAAAAAATCATGCAGTTTATTAGCTGATATTCCCATAAATTCTTCCTTAACGTCCATATGTAATAATAATACAGTAATACCTTTTGACCCTTCAGGTTTTTCTGCATCATGAATTTAAAGAAAAAGAAGAAAAATATGACATTTCATATAGAGATATTGAGAAAATCATATAACATAAAATTGGTAGCCAAAAGAAAAAGAATGAGGACAAGATGACTTCAACGTGCAACCCAGCACCACTTCTTTGTTGACTTCTCCAATCTTGTTCAGTAAACTAAAAACTCATTTTAAAGAGTTGACATACTCTTCTTACTGTCTTCCTTTAACTAATTGTCATTTATTTCCTTGTATAACTGTACCTAGCTTCTTTCCCTTCTCGCTAAAGAGAGTAACATTCTATATGTACAATCTAACTATAGAATGTCAACATAATTATAAAATATTTTAGAGATGAATGAAAGAGTCATAATCCAGAAAAATAATAAGGTTGCCTAGAGGAATAAAGGACCTGCGTTTTAATTCGATGAGTAGATTAGCAACTGCAGAGTTTGTGTAAGATGCAAGCAGAATAGATGAACCTCTGATCAACAAAGCTTTCACAGCATGGACCATTGTGGAGGTTTTTCCTGTTCCAGGCATTCCTAAGATCAACGCATAGTCCTTTGCAGTGAGTATCTGAAAATAAAACAAGAAAGCAAGTCCTTTATGAGCTTTGCTACAGAAATATTGTCGTTCAGAAATGCCTTAAGAATAGCATGTTACATAAAAGATGAATCGAACATAATCAAGCAATGACCTGTAGTATAGCTTGAGGGTGATCATTATTAAGGCTCTTTTCTGACCAAATATACGATATTGCGGGATCTGGCTCAGTATAGTTCCATTGTTAAATCTAGGAGACTACAGAGACATGGAAGAAAGAAGACAAAACGAAGCATGTGAAGAAGAATATAAGAAACAAATAGCATTATCGTGTCAAGGGGAATACTGAAAAAGGTGAATCAGACATATCACCTCAAGAGCCACAATCATTTTCCTGATTCTAATGCTACGTTCGTTTTGTATGAAAAGCTGCATGAGATTGAACCTTGACGAATATAAAGATCACAAATCAATATCGTGACAGCCAGTCCATGTAGGTAGGATTAATAAATCAATAAAAAAATTACAAAATCATGAGAGAATTACATAACCGAAAATGATGTCATGAATTCATCTTTGTAAATTCGCCATAGCTGCATGAGAGAGATTAGACACCTCAGAAGAAGGTTCGTTCCAAGGAAGCCGTAATCGCTTGGATAAAGAAACCTTAGGATTGACATAGCAAAAGGAATATCCAGGACTCTTTTAGACATGACTGAGTAAGAACATTGAGACAAACTAAGCTAATTCCACAAACTGTTTAAAGAAAATCTAGGAGGAATGTGCTTACTGATACATGAGTGTGACTAATATCCGTTATAGTACCATTTGCAACGGTCAGGTGGCTGATTTCTGTGCGAAGAATCTAGATATGAAAATTTTATAAACAAAGAAGCGGGAACAGCATAAACTAAGACTGGAGGTTTTTTTAAAAATTGCCGTAAATTTTTAAATTTGAAAAATTGATCACAAGTTTCCGCATCTAAGACTTTCACATAAATATGCTGGTGAGCAAGAAAATGGTTGAGAAAATTTGGAAGAATACTCTTCCGGGGAGCTAATCAGGAAATGAATTGTACCACGCGGTCTCCAAGTCATCAGTTGCAGGGGTTCCAATCCTAATCGTATCTTCACTGGGTACTCTTTCTCTAGATTCAGATGAGTTTTGACGAAGAAAACAATCCACGATCCGAAGGCGGTCCTTGATTTTCGATCGGAACCTCGCTCGCTGAAAAATACCCCGCCGGTTCCACCGCCGCAGATTTTCACAAAACAAAATCCGATTCAAATTCCAGACGACAAACCCAGAAAAACAAATTCAAAACCCAGAACCAAAGGAGGAGCTAGAGGAAATTATTTAAAAGAAATCTCCAGAAAACTACGAACAGGCTGCAGCGGCCGCATCGATCTTCACCTTAGATCGCTTGGTGGGCCGTGGAGATAGACGACACTTTAGGAGAAGAAGAAGAACAGAAACACTTCGAAGCGGAAGAGGTACCTCTCGTCTCCATAGTTACGTCGAATTTTTTATTTGTGAAGAATTTTCTTTTTTAATTAAAATATTTGGACACGTGTCGTCTCTGCAGATGACGTGTCACGCTCCTGGAAAAAGTTCTTCATCTTTTATATATAAGATTTATATTTAGTTTTATGGTAGGTTTATAAGATTTGCTTTCGTGTTTGGTAGATTTGTTTATGTCTTTGGTAAATTTGTAAGATTTGTATGTTGTTGTATAAATTGGATATATTTGTTTTTGGACACGGCGACTTTGCTATAATATAACCATTTTTGCAGATATGGTTTCTGCTAGCAGCGCAAAGGATTATCCCCAACAATTGTACCCGGAAAATAGATCTCCTATGAGGAAGAAGAGTGCTCATCATAACTGCAAGGTTCATAAATTCATCAATATTAGGGAGCAGCTGTTTGAGTCTAGTGAGTGTGTG